TGTCACCTCTTCCTGCTCACTGACAGTTCTGGGCCACCCCCCAAGACTTCCCAGAAGCTCCTAACAGCCTTGCTCTCCCGGCGCCCTGCCCAGCTGCTGCCCACTATGACCACCCCCTGCAGGGGAAGGGGCAGGGTACTGAGCCTGAGGTAGCTGGGCCTGAGGGCAAGGCACATGGAGGAGGCTATCTGGTGTACTCACCTCACGAGTGACCTTGCCATTGTTGTCAAAGTCGTACAGGGTGAAGGTCCATTCCTGCCGGCTGTCCTCCTCCACAGACACGTCACACTGTAGCTCCTGGACATGATGAGACAGGCATGACTGGTCACCTACCAGCTGAAGCACCAGGCGGTATGTGCTTGAGCCCAGAGGTCAGGCCCAGGGGCAGCCGCCTAGGCTCTGCCCTCCCCAGGCCTTGGGCAAAGAAGCAGCAACGGACCCAGGCAGAGCACCAGGAAGGCCAGCCAGAGTCTGGTCAGGGAGGTCTGGGCCCAGGGGGGACACCCCCAGGGGTGCCAGTCAGTCTCTGGGTCTTCAAAGACAAGAAGAGGGGATCTGAGAAGCAATTTGCAGCCTCAGGACGGCTGAACTTGGCCCTAGGGCTAGAAGCAACTAGAAGGCCCTGAGGAGCAGCGACTCAAAGGTCGGGGTAGGGTCAGGTCTGAGGGGCTCAAAGGCCAGCCAGCCCCAGGCCCCTTACAGCAGGTGACCCTGAACCTGCCACCGCACTTCTCTGTGCCTCAGTTTCCTCTCTGAGGAAAAGGAGAGTATCTTCCCGCACTTCTCCTTGACCCACCTGAGTCTCCTGCTGGGTAGTTCCCAAGCTCCCACCTCCAGTGCCCTGTGCAGGGCAGCTCTGGAGAGCCAGGGATTGAATGCCCAGAGGCGCAGGCCAGGCGTCCTCACCCTCCACAGGACAACTCTGAGCAGAGTATATGTGGCTCATCAGAGGGTCCCGAGCAGGGCTGAGCCCCAGGTGCTCAGGCACAAGATACTCATGCATCAACCTACCCTTTACTCACTTCCTTCCTCCCTTGCACCTGCTCCCTGGGACCCTCCCCAGGTCACTACCTGTAAGGCCTGCGATGGGGTCTGCTTTGGGAGAAATTGGAAATACAGTTTATTTATGTGCTTGGTACAAGGCCTGAGACACAGAAAAGCCTAATTAATGGTTGTAGCTGGTATTGTTTTTGTTGTGTTGATTAATCCAACAATGATTTCATTATTATTCACAACAACCAGAAGTGTTTCATCTCAGAGAATCTGAGCTGAGAAATGGTAAGCTGAAGGCATGTGTGCAGAGGCTGCCTAAGTGCCAGAGAGTTCTGGAAAGCATGTTGTTCGGGGAAGTAGGTTCGTAAGACCCCATGAAACATGACCAGAGTCCCCCAGATCATTCCATTCCGTGTCCTGCCTCTCCTTCTGGCCCATGCGAGGGCAGGCTCAGCCCCCAGAGCAGGGAAGGCCCCTGCACATGATGGTGGGGTGTCCCCCACACTGCGTCCCTGCTGTTGGCTTCTGCAGCTTGATGCCAGTTCCCTCCAGCGGTTCTTGGGCAGCCCACGCTGAGTTCAAAGTCAACCCCGCCTCAGCGTGGCATGCCCAACCCACACCCACCGAGGGCCTGCTGTGCTCTCTGAGGCACTGCTCCGTGTGGCGTGACGCAGGAGCCGTCCTGCACATGCCTACACACACACTCACACAGACACACACCCCTACACGCACACACCTACGAGGTCTGACAGTTGAGCTTGAGAACTCATGCTAGAAAAAGTGCCACCTACCTGAGCGCTGACTATCACCCTGGTCACCTTCCAGGCACTCCCCTTGGGAAGCTGTGCACTGACACCAGTGCCTCATCCCTCCACCCTTCACAGCACTTTTTCTACAATGAGTTCACAAACTTTAACTGTCCAGCCACATACGACGATAGTTCCAATGGCCATTCCAGAAAGAGTTTCAAAACTGCTTTGAAGGTGGACTAGGCGCTGGCGTCTTGAAGGTGACTGTGATGATACTCAGCGGTGAAGAATGTCACACTTTTCCCAGGATGAGTTCGTGAACTTGTCTGATCTCGTATACACACGGGCACATAGAGGGTTTACCTGTTTCTAGGACAGCTTGAATTTGAGGTTCAAAAACACAGACTGAACAGCTGTAGCCACCTGCCCTCCCAAGCCCATCATGTATAGTTTCCTAGACCCCCACCTCCAACCTGGACTTCTCAGGTGAGTCCTCCC